TTTAACACGATTAGCTATGCATGTTTTTAAATATAAACTTAATCTAAACAACGTCGATATTAAAATAAATATATAATAACAAATTCGTTACAATGGTGTATAAAATTATAGCATGAATGTTTTAATGCTTTACTATTAACAAAATATGAATTTTAATTGTATTAGATTATCATTGTTGTTATTAACAATGAAAGTTTGTTGCTAAATGATGTAACAAGAAAAATGGATTACATATGAAGTTTAATATTTTATTTTTGTCTTATTTGTTTAAGAAGGGTGTGCCATGGAACGGGACTACAAGCCTGCATCACTCCTCTGAAGGATGTTGTACACACACACACTCATATATATATATATATGGCTTGGTATATTTCTCGTTATATCGGATTTGAATAACAAAGAGGAACAATATTATATATCATATGTATGAATTTCAATTTGGGTATTGCTACGTCTCCGTTCGTTAATTAACTTTCCGTAACTTCGTTCCGACGAAACTTTAGCGACACAAGTCCTTACTTAATAAAACTGGTTTATTCTTTACGAATATAACTTTACGATACACTTAATTTCAACAATCGCGCTAAAACAAACGCTATAACAACGAACGTGCTCAATAATACTCTCTGACTGCAGATCAATTACTCACTATCTACACACACACATTATCTGTCACGTTGTCACCCTCTTTTATATACCAGACTACCCTATATCTAGTAAATGCTAGAGCATTCGCCAAGGTACAGGATAGTTCTAGAAAGCAGAGGGCGTGAGAATAGTCACGTGATCTCGCTGACGCAACAGTATGTATTACATACCCAAACAATTCTTAGAGAACGTATCAACAACCATAAGTCTTCCATTAACACCGACAAAAATCTCCCTGTTGCTCAACACTTCAACCAATCCGATCATTCTATTAACGATGCAACTCTAATCGGTATTGAAACCTACTTTAAAACAAAAGCTGATAGAAAGATAATAGAAGCTTATTAGATTGCTAATCTAAATATTCTTCAACCTAGTGTAATAAATCTAGATCCTGGAATTAGTGGTCTCAGATCACTGGTTTGTTCTCTGTCAGAAAAACAATAAAAAAATATTTATTTATTTTTTCATGTAGTGTGAACTCTCAATGCTTACCCCTAATCTTTCTAATACGTAATATTTATTTATGATAATTTTCAATGCTTGTCATTAGAAATTAATCTGCTTAACATTTATTTTGCAATTCAGCTTCTATGTGTTACCTTTATTTTACTTTAACAACATTTAGTATAGTTATTCTTGACTA